CAGTTGGAGGGTTTAACATACAAATCCGTGCATTTTTTAATGTTCCTAAATAAAATAAAACATGAACAAAATTACTATTTTAGTGCTTATTCTTCATTCTTCTTCTCATCAAAGACTAAAGTATTTCATGTCCTCATCCACATTTCCCCTCAGTTCTTTGTGCAAAGCCAACATTCCAGACCAACTGCACACCAGTGAAATCTGAACTGGATTTGAATTGGACTCGTACTAAAGCAGCCGCTCAGCACAATCTTTGTCGTCAGCAGTGTTTATGACTTTTCATGCGTGTTGCACCTTTCCTTCCTTCCTTCCTCAACTGACTTGAAAAAAAAAACTACAGACGAGGCTATTATGGCTGAAGTGTTGTCACGGCTGTCTTGTCCTTCTCACAGAACAAAGACAGCCTGAGATTGATGGCTTCAATGATGCTGCGCAGACTGCACACCATCCTCAACCTGGGACCACGTGCACTTTATTTACATGTTTCCTGTTCATCTAAAAAGATCTTATTAAAAATAATAAAATTAAAAAGGGAAAAGACACTGATTATTTTAAATTTGACTGTGAAACTCAGATTACGTGGTTTGGGACAGGAAGGAACCAATAGAACAGTATGGAGAAGTAGTCTGTATGAGACCAGAAGCCTTGTAAACTCTTGAATACCAGGTGTTTGATGATATTGAATGTTGAGTGCTTCTCACTTCCTCTGTACTTCCTCTGTGCCGACCACTGACCGAGTTCCTGCAGCAAAAAACTATAGACGAGGCCGTTATGGCTGACGTGTCGTCATCCCTGTCTTGTCCCGTCCAGACAAACAAAGACAGAGGGTCCAGTTGATGAGACACTGGCAGTCTCCTGTCTGCCTCAGCAGGGCCTCAGGATACTACAGCTACATTCAGGCCCATTCACAGTGGCAGCCTGTGATGGAACAGCCTGTTAATGTTTAACCGCACACAGGAACTGATGCAGTGCTTCTGCCAGTGAGCAGCTCACGCCCCCATCTCACCCTGTCATCTCGGTTCACACGTGTCTACATCATGGTTGGCTCAGACACAGGTGGAAAATGTGAGCACTGCTCTGTTTATAACTATTTTAAAATAGTATTATGCATCAGATAACTGAACAAACAACATTCTGATTCCAGATAATCAGTGACCACACAGAGAGCAGAGACGTAGGAGGAGCAGAAGAGATATCATCACCATAATAATAATAATAATAAAAAATAATCTGGGTTTTTTTTATCTCTAATTTATCCCTAATCTCTAATGTTGTTGTCACCCATTATTATCACTACGATTTATAATAGTAACTTTAGTTACGTATATCTAGGCTAGCTGTTGGTCGTCTGGGTTTAATATTTGTCTTTAGCCATTTTCCATGTTCTGGCTAATCTAGTCAGAGCTAAATTAAATGTTGTGATAAATTTTTGGCTATCCTTTAGCCATTTTCTGTATTTATAAGGTAAATTCAGACATGCTACAATTAATTTTACTGCATTTCAGCCACACACAGAAGCGGTGTGGAGGATACAGAGATTGTTTCAGCTTAACCAAGAAAGGCAAACAAGCAAACGGGGGTTTTCCCTTATTAATAATCATCATATGGTGCATTAGAGCAGTATAGTGACGACATGGCAACTGCATGGTCTCTTACTTTTTAAGTTTCCATCAGACTCAACAAGGGGCCTGTTGTTCTGTCATGCATATATAACTACAAACTGCTTCATTCAGCCCCAAACAAATAACATAATTATTTACATAGAAAAAGGGAAGTGGACTCTTATCTGTGTGGACACACGGAGCAATGGCAACCAAAAGTATTTTAAAGTGCAGGAGCCTGATGTAAAAACTTCCTAATTTTATTTTTTAAGAGTGGTAAAGTAACTATTTTGTACTTTTTCTTACTTTGGCTGCAGCCTAATCTAATCTAAGGTAAGTCTTAGCATACCTTAGAATTAGCAAGAAAATGAGGAAGACCAATTTGATTTAAAAATGTTTTGTCGAAAATAGGCCCATTACTGCCAACATGGTGGTGGGGTGGTTAGTGATCTTGCCTCACAGCATGAATGTCAGCAGTTTGATCCCCTGTTGGCAATTGCACGTTCCCTCTATGCTTTTTCTTCAGGTACTTCCATGACGTGAAGGCTCATATCTACTGAGATGGTTGACAGGCAGCTGTCTGTCTGTCCAGACCAGCGATCCAGAAACAAAGTCTAGCTTCAGCCATGACCAGGGCCTGAGCAAACAGGAAACACTGAAGTGCACTTTCAGCATTACACCAATCCCTACTGACATCCCAGCGTGGAGTCATCTGTCTCTCAGCTGACACTCACTACTACCAACCATGCCTGCTCCCAGGGTGCACCTCCTCGTGTCCTGTTGCCTCCTGCTGTGTCCTGTGCCCTCTAAGAGGAGGCCTGTCAATCCAGGCTGCTGACACACACTTTGGCCTAGACCCAGGAACCTTCACACCTACTCAACACGGTTTGTTTTCCTAAAGGATACAAATACTTTCAGTTTCAGCATCAGGCCCAGATTTTCATGTGCTTTCTTCACATGTCCTGACAGAGATTAATAAGAATTAACTCTTAGACTCCTGCTGGTTCTATTCACCTGATCTCCCTGAGAGCTGCTGGGAGACTCTGCTGAGTTTTTGAGTAGATCTGATAGAACTGTAAAAAACAAACAAAAAAAAAAAACAAAACCCTGAATATGCCTATACTGAGATAAAAGTTGGGGTAAGGCTCAGAGGAGTCCAGGTTTACCGCTGATTCTGCTAGTTACCTTTTTATTTCACATTCCATATGTTTAACATTACAATCATTTTCAATCATTTTAAAATTGGTTAAACTTATTGTGATCTTAGTTTCTGTAGTTCAAATGCCAGAACTGCACAGAGAAAGCGTGCCCTGTGTGTGAGTGTGTGAGTGTGTGTCGTCACGCAGACACATCATCGTATCGTCCATCCCAGGGCGTCTTTGTCTCCTCGACAGGACAAGACAGTAGTGACGACACAGCAGCAGTTACGTCCGCTGTGCCTGTAGTGTTGTGGTGGAACAGGAAGTCAGTCAGCAGCTGCATGACGAGAAAACAGAGGCAACCTGTGATAATGAAGCCCTGGGCACGAAATGAAGGGTTTGGACGTCAAGTCTTTTTAATGAGTCTGTATCAATTGTAATATAACGTTTTTGGAGCTATAGCAACAACAACATGAATTATCTTTCTTCCCCTTATTTTATAACATTACCATTCTCCCCTAGTGGTGTATATTTCTAAGTTCCTTTAGTACATTTTTGCACACTAAGCTCTGCTTTATTGAGAATTACAGCTCTGAGGGTTTTTTTTTCATTTCCAAGGGCTACGAGTACACATATCAAATAAACAATGAATTATCATATATATATATATATATATATATATATAGAGTATATATATATATATATAATAAATCAAATTATCATTGTTAAGCTATTTATTTAAAATACATGGCTGAAAAAGTAAAGTCTAACACCAACTGACTGTATATATATATTTACACTGTATATATATATATATACTGTATGTATATATACAGTATATAGATATATATACATATATAGATATATATGTATATATACACACACACTATTCATTGTCTTCCTGTAATACATATTGTTTTAATCTATTGTTTTCTGCTAATGACTAGTCTTGAAAATTGTGTGGATTTTTAAAAGTTGCTTCAATAACAATAAAACTGATACAGAATTTATCACTGATATTGTGTGTGTGTGTGGGTGTGTGTGGGTGGGTGCCTGTGCATGGGTGTGTGTCCTTTGACAACAGTCTTTAATGTGATGCATTTAACAAATGAATGCCTCTAACAAGGAAGTGGCCTTTGTGAGGAGTGGAATCCCTCCTGTGTGTGTGGTGTAAGGTGTGTGGGAGTGTTGTGTGGGCTTTCCCCATGCAGAGGCACTCTAAAGGCCAGCCTACACACTCTGGAACCCGCCTCTATCCCAGCCATGACACCCAGCTGCAGTCTGTCAGCAAAAACAGCCAGGCAGGCAGAAAGCATAGAGGCCGAGGACAACAAGGAGACGGCAGAAGAACAAAGACTGTGTGAGAGTGAAGAAAAGGCAGGGATGTGTGCGTGATAGAGAGAGTGTGAGGTGGATGGGGATCCAGAAAAGTGTGAGTCGGTGTGATCGTCCCGGTGTGCAGAAAAGGCCCGACTCCTACGCTCACATTCCTCTGTATTATATGGAAGTCAATGGGAGTGACAGTATGGACATGCACATCCTTGACAGCTGCACAGTGAGCAGGAAACACACACAAATACCTGCAGCAGGAGGAAGCGTGTAGGAGGTTATACTCTTTTACCCGCAGTGAAGGAGCAGCTCCTGACTTTCTGTCCCACAGTCCTGGAGTGGGATTAAAAAAGAACGTTTACTCTCCTAGCTGCAAAGACGAAATCTGAATGTAGTGCTTTAGAAAGATTTTATAGCAAATAAAAAACTATTTTTTAGATGTTTTTCTTCTCTGGAGGCAAACAGCAGATCATTTGCCTCCATATCACCCTGGTCTCTACTGTTGCACCAACTCCTTCTATGTGCTACTTCACTAAGACCATGAATACTCTTTGTTTATCAGCTGCAGCTATAGCAGCCATAGTTTAAAGTATCTGGTTGAACTGTACGGCTGCTGATCTAGGGCACTCTCAAACTATCTACTAACTAATCACACCACACTATACTATACCCTATCATACCAGTCTTTGATTCCCTAAAAGATCCAGTATACAGCGTTTGACTTTTTCATCTCAATGGCAGAACAAAATGTGAAGGATATGATGAGAAAGCAAGAGTTCTTAACAGTACTTCTTACTGAGATGAACTAAAAACAACAACAACGTCAGAAGACTGACAGCACAAGTAACAGTTGGGCCGGTGCTGAAAAAACAGAAACCAATGTGAACGTAGCTCCATCTAGTGGTTTGGAGAGAAATAAGAAATGCATCTATTTAAGTGTCACATATAAACCGCTGTTTATTTATTGGAAGAAAGACAATAATGTAAAAAAAAAAACAATTATTATAAGCATTACAAATGTGCATTCAAACAAAGTCAAAGTAAAAAAAAAAGAGAATTACATCAACTAATGTTTCCAACGGTATAATGTGACCTTAAAGTGCATCATTGATACCAATTAAACAATGTTCACATTAGAGAGAAGCAGTCACAACAGAAGCAAACAGCCTGATGTAAAGAGTACTGTACACCTCTAATATTTCGGGTGGGCTTTAGAAGTCATGCAAGATCACTGAAAACCTAGACTCCTTCAGTGCAATTTGATTAAACTGACTAAATTGACTAACTACGATTGACAGATTACCTGAAAATGTACAACTAAAAAAAGCACTTTCAAAAGAACTCAAATTATAGACGTACTATATCTGTATTTACAGTACATCTATAAATTTTTTTCAGTACTGTATTTCCTGAAAATGCCCCAGATATCGTTTTCACTTTTAATACTCCTTAATAGATATAAAGCATTGCAAAGACAGGAGCTAACAGGTGTATTAACTCACAAATAAATAAAAAACTCTGCCACAGTAAGTGCAGCAATTTGGATGTGATCTCAACTAAAAAACGTAATGTTATTTACTAACCTATTAACCTCAAATAATTTGTCTTCGTTTGTCGAGACAGTAAAAAAAGAACAATTAAATACTATTCCACTAGGTGGCAGCAGATGGTTATAAATATATAATATATGTATATTGAAGTTATTCGTGCGTGTCTTTCTTCGGCAAGTATGAGTTCAGCTACATAGGTCCAGCTTTCACTCCGAGCAGATAAATTGTTGATAAGTAGAAACTAGAAGATCATTATATTTCATTACATTTAGTTTATTTGGTGGTGCGCTGTGGATTTTTCTAATGTGCCATGGCTCAATAAATTTGTATACTGGTGCAGATGGACTTAAAACTTATAACACTATAACACTTTTCAGATGAAGTACATGCAATTGCCAACTTAAAGTGTATTTGTAGCATTTACCTTTATAACATTGTGAACATCCATAGTTCATTTTTACATTATTTACAAAGACTATGACAGACACAGTTTCTGTGTCACTCCTTTACAAACAAACTTCATTGTTTGGTTAAAGCCCAGGATGACTCTAAAGAAAACTCCCATCCAAACTAAAGGCTGTGAACTTCTGAGCCTGCTGGGCTCCGATCTCTGCCACATACAGGGCCCCAGTCTTTAGATCCAGGTCCACCAGGTGGGGCTTCACCTCCTCTGCCAACTGTATGACACTAATCACTTTGCACTCACCAATTACACCCACAGGTGGGGCATCCAGCAGTGATATCTGGTTGGTGTTGAGCTGAATAACGACAAAGTACTTCTTATCTTGGGTCAAGCGAACGGAGTAGGGTGCATCCTCAGTGAAGCAGCCTCCCCACGAGCCAAGCCAGTCTCCAGTGATGGAGTTGAAGACCTGGATTCTTTTGTTGCCTCGATCGGCCACCCACACTCTCAGGGCCCTGTCCACAGTCACACTGTGGGGAATGTTGAACTGGCCAGGGCCTGGTCCCTTCTCCCCATGCACCCACACCACCTCCTGGTTTTTAGAGAGCTTGATGAGACGGTTGTTCATTCCACCATCGCCGTCAACAATGTACATTTCCCCAGAGCTGTGCACGAAAATCTCAGCCGGCTGGTCAAACTGCAGAGGGTTCAACCCGTGGCCTGCCTTCCCTGGTGTGCCAAGCACCTGACACATACAACAAGAAAATGCACTCTGAGTTTCTACTGCCACACAAATACTTAACCAGGGGGAGGTATAACCACTACTGCTGGCAAACATGTTACCTGAAGTAGCTTCCCAGATGGGGAGTACTGTTTGATGCAGTGGCCGTGTGGGCCATTCCCCACATCTGTGATCCATAGAGTAGGATTCAACGACCCTGCATCTGCTAAAAATATCCCATGAGGCATCTCCAGGGTGGTTGTGTTCCAAGCCATAAGGAAATCCCCATCAGTGGTGAACACTAACACTTTGGGCACATTGTCACCTTGGGAAGTAACAAGTCATATGAAGCAAATACACAACGAATTCCTACACATTAGTGACCATCGATTGATATTAACAACATCAATGAAGAGACTACGACTGTCAAAAAGCCCATTGATGTTCCCAGCTTGATGAAGTTCTTGATTTTGATTTGTTGGTGTGCTCATGCATGTATTGTATTTGTCAGTAACATCATGCCACCTGCTTGTTTGGTACATATTGAGGCACTAATTGAAAACACTAACCTAAACCTGGACTTATATCAAACTAATATATAACGCTTGAATGAAGTGTGGATGTAAAATGCATAGAAATGTATTATAAATTAATTATTTTATCATATTTACTATTAGTATTGATTTGTGTGCTCACCTCTCTGGGCCACATACACCACCCCAGCGTACTGGTCCACAGCCACAGCGAATACGTTGCCGGTGAAGAGCTCAGGGTTCCGGGGCCAGCCGAGGTCCAGTTTGTACAGTGGTCTACCCATCAGCTGGTAGTCCTGTCTGAGGCTCGAAGAGGAGGGGGAATGTGTACCGAAGGCTCCGTACAGAGCCATCATTACTAACACCAACGAGCCCATGGTAGAGGCTATTAAACAGGCGTGAACTCGCCTTTTTATCAACATCTGTGACGGCTGAGAGCTACACTTCTATGTGAATGATAGTGATCACCAGACTGCAGATAGAGGAACTACACTGACCGACAACGTTCTTCTGGTCTTAAAAACTAGACATACCAAGTTAAAATATACGAGAGCTGTTATACCATAAATATATAAAAAAAAGATACATCCTGCAATTGATAATTCTGAAAAAAAAAACCAGACAAACAAACGAACAAACTACCAACTTCCGCTTAAACCTTACACAAAAAATAGAGGGACGAAATTGAAGGAACACATTTCCGTCCAGAATTCCACAATAAAACTAAAATAGATGGCAAATCGCACATGCAGAAATGTTATCAAAATTACATTATTAATTACCACATGGATGAACCGGCGTTAAACATGCTTTTGTACATTCTATTTTCATGGAAAATAAGCATAAAAACAGAATCAACACATTTGCAATGCCAGAAGCAGGAAGCATCTTGCAAATATAAACCAAAATATATTTCAAAAAACATCTAAAGCAACTGGACAAAGTAGGGTTTTTTTTAGACGTTTCGCTTCTCATCCAAGAGGCTTCTTTTTGACTGATCCAAGAAGCCTCTTGGATGAGAGGCGAAACGTCTTTAAAAAACCCTAGGTACTAGTGTCTAGTTGATTTCGACGTAATTGTTTTTTTGGTTAAATGACTTGGATGACTGAGAACCTACGCAGACATCATCTATACTGCTTATATTTTATTTATTTGTCTATTCTGTTAAGGTGACTTCATATATTACTATTATATTATTTATTTACCATTTTCATTAATTAAAAACAAATACCTTACAAAAATCGTATTCATATTTCGAACACTGTGACGCTTATCATTCTAGAGACTTTTATGTTTAAAGACGGGCCGCCTATCACTTCCGGTAATGTGACGCATCGTCATGTGACCGCTCGGCGACGTCAAGACGTGTTGACGGTCGCAGCTCAGACTGTGTAGTCGACTCTGTGCTGCCTAGACAGCATTCTATTTTCTTTTGAGTGTTTTCACGGGATTTGTCAGCGCAGGGCGAATGACAGTCCATGCGGGAAACAGACACCTTTCATGTAGTGTAAACCATCGAAGTAGAGACGCCATGGAGGTCGTGGAAAGTCCACTCAACATGGTGAGTTTTTGTGTTGCAATAACAGGCTAACGTTACTGGACCCAGTGAAGTGTAGGGGAAGCTACCCAGGCTAACTGCTAACACCGCTGATGCTGTTTGTTGTTTGTTTCTTGCAATAATACATGGCAGCGTGGTTTAGTCCTCATATTTAAATCAATAATAGGTTTTAAATAAGGAGTTGGTAGTGTTACATTTTTAAAAGTACTTATTTGGACCAAAATTACGTTTCCTAAAAAGACCTTAGACCAGGAAACATAACATACAATTTTTAAAACTGAAACTTATTAACTCTTATTACACCTTTATCTCATTATCTCACTAAAAGTCATCAGTGAATCACTGATTATTTAATGCCAGTTTATAGAACTTGTGGAAACACCAAAACACACACACAATCAAAATATGTTTCCATTAAACACCTTTTTAAACTGTGTTGATATCCTGCGTGTCTGTTTATATACATTGGTAAGCGCATGAAGCCAATTTTAAGTACACAACATAAACATGACATAAACGTAATACAACATGTTTCTTTGTGTGTTACTTCGGTTTTTTAGCATTTTTCGCAGTTACATTTTAGCACTTCGAGCTACGTTTGGCTAATTATTATGTAATAACTTTTCAGCCACTTGTTGAAAGTCATTACTATCCCATGGTAGAATTTGGCTTTGGAGTGTTTTTTTTTTCTTACCTTTGTCACATCTGTGTCTGCCTCTCCTCAGGCTCACCAGCAGTGCAGGAAGGCAGAGCGCTTGGTCACTTCCGGCAAGTATGAAGAGGCCATTGCCTGCCATGTAAAGGCAGCAGGTAAACAAAGCTGTGCAGGAGGACTTCATTTTTTTATTGCAACTTAAATTGTGGCTACAGTACAACCCTTTTTATATGTGACAAGTTTTGTGCTATTTTTGTCTAGCTATGAGCAACAGCATCACCAAAATGCTCCTTATGGCTCTGTGAGCAGAGTGTATAATATGAATGATGGGTAATGGGGAAAAAATGAGTGCTCATTAGTACTTGAAAGCACTGTGCTGGTACAGACCACTTTCTGGAATGACCACTTTGTGCATTAAGCAGCCTGTTATATAGTATTGATGCACATTACGGCAACATGATTGTGTTAGTTTGTAAAATTATACTTTGGAGTATTTTTTGTGCTCTGTTGATATTACATTACAGTCTTACCATTTTGTGATGGTATGAAACAGGAGCAGAGAGAGAAACTGACCTGCTGTGACTTTCATATACTGTGGGTGTGAGTTGAATCATTCAATATATCTGCTTCTCTGCTCAGATCTTCTGACCGATGCACTAAAGAAAACAGAGTGTGATCAGGTGAGTTGGTGGCTTTCAATGCAGAAAATCCTTTACATCATGTCTCAATGAATGTGTGCAATATGGTTTCACAGCGGTATAATAATTCCTGTGTTCACCTTCAATACTGTAGTTATGGCAAGTATTCATTAGGAACATGTAACTAGTTTCCGTTTAAAGTACTTTGTATAAATAATGTACCTGTGGTCTGTTGTATGATTGCAGGCTCGGCTGTCCATGGAGCTACAGAGGGACAGTCACATCAAACAGCAGCGACTGATCCAGGAGCGCTGGAAGAGAGAAGCGAGGCGCGAGGCCACAAAAGCCCGAGCAGGGGCGGTGCAGCCTTTTGGCAGCCCGGGTCTCCTTTCCCAGGTGCAGCCTTCAGGCCCACTACCCCATGGGACCCAGGGACTGTCAGGCGCCACATGTGGAGGAAGGAGCGAGCGAGAGTACGACACCTTACTGTATCAGCTACAGACTCGACAGTCTGGAGGCTGCCAGACTCCGCCGTGTTCTGGATCTAAAACCGCTAAAGATGATAAAACCCGCCTGGAGGAACAACAGACCACCATCGAGGACCTGCGGCGTCTGGTCGAGCACCTGATGGATGAAAATCAGCGCCTGGTTGCAGAGAACAAGCAGCTACGGTCAGAAAACGCCCGGCTGCGCTCTGAAGCGGCGGACTTTGTGGAGCGTTCGGAGCTCTGGGTGCTCCCACATGCAGGTGGCGCAATGGGG